TTAGAGAAGGGAGTCCTCCTGTCATTGCTGACAAACACTGTAAGCCATGAAAGTGCCATTACAGAAGCCATCTCCATCAGAATGATTTTGTTTCCAGCATTTATCTTTAGTTTCTTATGCCTGGATCTGAATCTGCATTTTGGGGCTTTGCATTTATAATTCCCAGGTCTACTGAACTTGTATACAGCATAACATCACTTAGTTGATCTTCCTTCATCTAAGGTTCTCCAGGCAGTTTTATTTCTACAAATGTCACCTCAATCTACAAGGAACTCCAATGAAAGTAACATGCCTACAAGCAGAATTAAATACTGCTGAATATGAGGTCAAGTTACAGAAGAGTTAAAGCAATGAAGAGCTACAACACCTTACTTTTGTCAGAACAAATGGATTCATTTAAAAATAAAACATTTCCTTCCATTTATGAAATTTCTATGGGTTTCAAACTATAGCAAGCAGGTCAAATGCTGCTGATACCTTGTAAGCAAAAACAAAACAAAACAACAACACAACACCCTCTGTAGTTAAGTGTAATGGTCATAATCATTATGCTTCATACAGAAAGAAAAATATATAGAGAAAAATATATTCAAGAATTCCTGACTGTGAGCATTTGCCTTCTGATGTCCATTGGAGGTGCACAAGCCTCCAAAAGCAGAGACAGAGATATGTTCACTCATAAAGAGAGCTACCTGCTGTGAGTTGGGCACCTGTATTAACTCTTTAAAAATAGGCCTTGGAATGGGCTATCTCAAAGGAAGCTGACATCCATTTCAATATCAACTGAAGTTATTATTGTCCAAAGCTTATTAAAAGCCTAGATCTTATGTATCCAAATGGGAAGGCAAGCAAAATCTGGGAGTGCTGTGAGTTTATGACAAAGTAATGCAAGCAAAGTTACAAACCAGGGCAAAGATAGGGAGCGTATGGGTCTGGTATTGCTCATTTCATTTCTTTCAGCCTGTTACCACTTTTTTTGCTTCATTTGACAACACTACAACATGCTCCAGTGTAGCCCTCCAAAAACATTTCAAGGCCACTTAACCATCTCAGCAAGCCTGAGACATGGAAAAGTATTCAAATCCAGGGGAATTCGGGAACATACATCAATGGATTTCTGTGGGATCTGGATCAAATTCTGAGTAATCCCCAAAATGACAAGTAGCAGGACTTAGTGTTCCTTGTCTAGTCCTGACAGACTCTACCATCCCAGACCATGTGCTCTATTACAAATACAAAAAAAAAAAAAAGAGCATTCAAATCACAGTCATTTTTAAATGGTGATAACAGTACTCATATTTCAGAGATGAGAAAAACTTCTGACTATACAAGTATTCACCTCTATATACTTCATTCCAACGAATATAAGGAAAGAAATGTGATTGTATATACATTTGGACTATTGAAAAGTACTGAATTTAGGACCAAAATATCATCTAAAAAAAGAAAATAATTCTTACTGAGGATGTTACCTCTTTCCAGTGAGCACAATTCTCCTTAAGCAAGTATATTTTTGATGATCCTGAATCAAGCTTCCAATAAGGAAGATTTTTAAAATATTCTTGTGTTGCAACAAAATGTTCCCACTGGTGGTGTAATGAAAGAAAGAAAGAAAGAAAAAGCCCATCTCCTGGCAGGAAATTAATTATTGAGCATTCCACTGCTTGATGATGCACTCCTACATTCTGCATAGACTTTCCATTTTTTTCTCTCAGTATATGGAGAAATTCACTATGGAGAATATACAAACAGAACAAAGGAGTAAAGAGCATCAGTTTATTAATTTTTGCATTTAGCAAGCCAAACAGAGCTGGAGTGAGGAGCCCACTTTGCACATCAGCACACCTGGTGCTTATTCCCTCTTTATATTCACCTCTTCTCCATGCGATGGCTACTATGTTCTGTGAAATTACCTCTGTTCAAAATGGAAGAGATGCTCCTGAATTTAGCATCACTTACCTGTGGCAGATCAGAACTACCACTTCCTTCACTGAAAACAAACAGCAAAAAACAAAACAAAACCTGAAAATCTGAGTTCATGATGGAAAAAGACCATCAACATATGCCCATGGCTAAATATCCAGCCGTAACTCCATTTACACAAACAACTTTTTTTTCCCTCTACGTCCCCTCAGTTTAGCAAATTTCGCCACTGTTAATTTTGGCTTTCCTGTGGAAAAAAAAAGCTGAGAAAAACATCCATATTATACTTGCAGCAATCTGTTTTATGCCAAAATATATAGCTCCTGAGCCTACTTGTGCCCCCCTGGACACACACCTAGGACACTCCTGAGTTCAGCAGGATCGTAATGCTGCAAAGCATTCCCACTACAGCACATCCCAGCAACTGACATCCCGAATCCTTCAGCAGCGTTCTGCGGAGCTATCGCATGGAGAGGGAACGTGCAGCAGACTGAAACCACATATGCTGTCTTCAGATAGCATTTCAAATTAGCAGTGCACTACAGCTTAGCTAAGTCATGGTGAAGAATTTTTCAAGAGAAATTAATACTTCTAGCTTTCAAAAAAGGAGACAGAAAGAATATGGTAAACTGCTATGACAGATGGTTGTGTGATGGCTGCAGAAACTTGAATACTGGGTAGGCTCCTGAGGTACTGCTCTCATGCCATTGCCACTGTCACCTTGATTCTTCCATCAGCTACTGGAGAGGATGGCTCAGGCACAGCGGGACAGAAATGTCTCCATCTGCCTTATAGACCTAAAAGAGCCCCTGTTAGGCTAGCTCCTTGCATCAGCAGGAGATGGTCAGAGGTCAGCTTCTATCCCTGCAGCACATGTCTCAGTGTTATCATGTGCTGTTCATATCTGAAAATATCTTGCTGCTGCCTGCCATCCTCCCCTTACAACATCCTCTCTGTGCATCATGGAGGCATCTTGGGTTTACTGACACACCAAGGGGTTCCCAGAGACTGTAAAGCATCTCCACAAATGCAACAGCGTCCACTGAAAGGATGCATTCAGGAATAAGACAAACCATAAGCTCTGGCCATCTCATGCGGCCCCACAGGAGCTCTGCAATGCTGCTGCAAACTGCACCAGCCCCAGCTGGCTTCTCATCCGAAACTCATGACTTTCTAGCACATCAAAACTGTTACTGATTCTGCAGCTGACAATGATACTCGTGGTGATTCAGATCGTAATCTTTTGGGAGTATGCATTTTGAATTACAACGCATGAAAAAGTTTAATTACTACATATGAACATAAAGCATATGCTGCCATTTTACAAGAAAGCATGCTGAAGAGAAGCACCATGCTTTGTCACTGGGCTCCAGCATGACAAAAATCACACTCTTCTGAGTATCAGACTCACCATCTGTAACATTTTCCATTTCTAGAAGTTAATGCGAGAGTTATGTGTTACAAATCATATCTGCTGTAAGTGATATGTATTATCACTTGCTTTGGAGCAGCACCCTAGAACAAATGCCTTTTCTCCCCGGTAATAGCCCACAATAGGCAACTTTTTAAAAATCCTGTTCAGTTTTGCACACAAAGTGTCAACTAAAGTATCTCTGGGAATTCCTCTTATATGGTAAGAGGGGGACAGAAGTTCTTTTCATTAACATAATGTTATTCGAAGCAATTTGCCCTGTAGGATGACATTTCTCCTACAGGACTATAGGAGTTCTAGAGATGGCTGTGTGCATCTGTATAAATGCATTCTAAGTTCCAGAGAGGAAAACGAGTTTAACTCCTTCTTACATAAGTGACTGGAGAGGCAATGGGAAAAACATGGTGGGTTTGATTTTTTTATTATTATTTATTTTAAGAACAGACTTCTATTCACTTTCCAAATTGCCATGAGTTAAGGATTAAACCTATTTTAATCACTAGAGTTGACCGCAAGATATCAAATGCAGGCCATCCATGCTAACATAGAGAATCAAAAGAGACAGAACCATGAGTCAGAAATCTAGGATTATATTACAAGGAAAGACTGTCAAAACCCAAGGGGATTTCAAGCCAAAATTGCCAGCCCCGGCAACTGGAAATCGGTATTTCAGAAGTTATAAAGATGCAGGTCACACTCCATACACACTTAGCTGCAGAGCTGAAAGAATGGCTAATTTGGATCTTTTTTTCCTTTCCCCCCTGATAAATTATACATACTCTAAGTCAAATCCAACCAAAAATTAATTTCCAACTGTACTGCCTCCACCAGAGCTCTAATGTCATTATGCAGAAACAGGAAGAGATAATGACCTATAATTCAAGTCTATTATTTCTATGGGACATGAAGATACACGGCAGCATAATGCCAGCTGTTGACTATGTTTGATGTAACACACCAATCTGAGCGTTCTCCCATGCCTATAAACCAAAGACGCTTTTAATTCTCCCATCAGTTTCTGCTAATCACAAAGAGTTTGCTGTTGAGGGGCAAAGATAACTTTGGAGGGACTGATACCAACAGCATCCAAGCCCGGGTATTTGCATCCTTTCCACTAGCACAGCCTGTGGCAGAACTGGAGAGTATCTCGGAGATGACTTAGAGCTCTTCAGAGCTCTGCCCACGTCTATTCAACAGTACGCCGGGACAGCCGCCGCCTTCCCCTCCGGCTGCGGGGACCCAGGGCCAACAGGGTCCGCGCGGCCCCGGCTGCTTCTCCTCTCTGCCCCCGGCTTTCTTCCCACCCGCGGAAGCCGAAACTCCCGTTAGCGGCGAGGCAGGGCGAGCCCGGCACCGCCTGCTCGGCAGCGAGGGCAGCCGGAGCGCGGAGTCCGTTCCTCGACGGCCCCTCAGGGGCGGTGGGGCCGGGCTCGGCCGCACCCCTTCGAGCCTCCCCGGGCTGCTCCCCTTCACCACGCCGGGCCCCGCACCCCCGCCGCGGGAAACCGCCGGCCCCCTTCTCCTTCCCGGCGGCCGTGGGGTGGGCTACGGATCCCCGAGCACGAGGAAAGACAGGGAGCAAAACGGAGACGAGGAGGAAGAGGAGCGGGGCGGCGTGGGAGGGGTCTCGGGGGCGTTTGTTTACCTTGGAGGTTCTGCACTCGGATGTCGCTGATGTGCCCGATCAGCTCCTCGCGCTGGAACCAATCCCACTCCTGCCCGGCCATGGTGCAGCCGGGCCGGCCCGCTCCGGGCAGGGGGCGGCGGGAGCGGGCGGCACCGCCACCGGCACCGGCACCGTCGGCGGGCGCGGAGCGGAGCGGAGCGGGAGGGCGGGGAGGGGGGGGCGGCTCCTCTCAGCGCTGCGCCCCGCCCCGCGGCACTCCTCCCTCCTTCCCGCCGGCCCCCACCTTCGTTCCCCGGAGCCGCCCCCTGGGGCACGGCAGGGCCACTCCGCCCCCCAACCTCCCCCAGCGGCCCGAACAAAGAGTTTTTTTGCCACAGCTGCTGCGCCTGGGGACGCGAGGAGGATCGTCCCCCGAACACTTGTCCTGCGCCCTCGTCAGAATGGGAAGAAAGAACTCGGAACGGCGGAGGGGTCCGATAGAGAAGGTGAAATAAGCGCCGCTGTCAATTGAAAGCATAGATTTGCTGTTTGTCTATGCCTTTAGCCTGCTACGCTGCCGAATTTCCTTTCAGTTTTCACTCTGAATATCTCCATTCACACCATTCTTCATCCCAAGTGGTAGTTATCAAGACTTCTCAGCATCATTGAGATGCGCTCTATGAACTTCCCAAGCAGCACAAGCACCTCTTTACATACACAGCATTTTGTTACAGCATACAAATGTCTGTAATCTTGTGCCTTTTTCTTCTCAAACCATGAAGATTGTTTAATGTGAACAGAACAACTTGACACAATCCAGTCGGACTGGTATATTACCACCAGTTAGACTACCAAAACACACAGCTGAGATCTACGAAGTTGAATATAAACAAACTAGGAGCTGAGACTGGGGTTCTTTCAAGCTAGAAGTGTTTTTGCGTATCCCCACACAACCATTCGGACACATGGTGCTCTTCCCACAGCCCCATCAGGTGGATTTTCCATCACCCTTCCAAGTAAAGTGGAGATGGTAAACACAAAATCATCCAGAGATAAGGGAACTGTTTATAGCTGCTGTAAGCGGCAGCAGTCATTCATCCCACAGCCCAGCCTACAAGCACTGGGGTGGCCCTCAGCTTTATTACTGTTTACACATCCAAGCCTTAAAGTTTCACACAAATGTAAAAAGGTACGAGTGCCACGCCAAAGAGTTTACAAGCCCAAAAGTGAGGAACAGAGGAAACATTGTGTGAAAGGGAAAGTGCAGCTGTCTCAGACATATTTGCAGTGCCAGGCTATGGCTTTACGTTGCACCAGGACATGCTGGTGTTTCCAGGTTCCCCAGGACTGCTACCAGTGTAGGATGGGTGACCCAGGCTTGGTGTCACTGCATATGGGCACACAGTGGGAGGTGATGTTCCGGGAGCCCTCTGGACAGCCCATTGCAGCCTCCAGGAGCCCCCATATGTTTTCACAGTTTCCATTTAGAGTCATTAAGTTTGCAAAAGACCTCTAAGATCATCTAGTCCAACCATCAGCCCCTCATCGTCATGCCCACTAAGACATGTTCCACTTACAGCAGGCAGTGTGGGCAGCTGCAGAAATGCAGCTGGTGTGGAGGTAAATGGATGAGGAGAAATGGAAAGGTCAAAAACATCTGGTAGTGAAAAGCCCACATGGAGGTGCAGCAGATGGAGTAAAGGGCAAGATGAAGCACTAAAGCACACATTCACTGCCAGCTCTGCCCGGTGTGTGATGTCATGGCTCTGATTTACTGCTCTCCACACCTTTTTCTGGGTCTGCTTGACACACTGCTGCCTTCAGCCCGCTCTGCAGGATGGCTGATGACAATCCCAGTGCACTGCCATCCTCAGGCCAGTTAGCAGCTGGCTATGACTTGCACAGGTCTCAGGGTCAGGTTTTGTTTAAGGTGTTGTAAATGACTAACAACATGGCACAAGGAAGTTTAAATTCCTGGTGAGGGGGGAGAGAAAGGCTATTAAAACATTTTTTTACGCAGGAAAGCACCTGCTCTGTGCACTGTTGTCCTCTGACAGAGAAAAACACAACCAAATGGCAGCAGTTAGAGTTGTCTGGCAGGTAGCACTGCCTGGGCTCCCCACTCATCAGCACATTCATATGAGCTGCATCAACTCCATCTTACATGAGTTCGAGACACTGAATTTGAAAAGTCGCACCCAGCAGAGTGCAGCTCTGTTTGGGAAGGCAGCAGCCTGACTTTGCCCATCCCACCCTGCCAGACAGCTCCCCAGCACTTTCCCCAGACCAGCTTGAAACCTTCACTGATAGAACCTCCACTGAGATGGCTGTAAAAAAAAAAAGCAGTATTTGCAGAACCAAGTACTCCAAAATGAAAAACTAACCTCTGAAATTGTAAGGATGTTGTACTATGTTTTTTCTTTAAGCTTTTTTTTTTTTTTTTTTTTTAAGTTCTTCCCTGTTAACATGTGCTCTGTGAATCAGCTCCGGAAGAAAGTATGAAATCTGAGATTCTCACATAAAGATAGATCTCCAAACATTATGTTACTCATGCTACTTGTCCTAAAATCTGTAAATGCTTGTGGGAAATTATCTGTGAAAACATTATCCGCCTACTAAAAAGTAACTGATTATATACAGTGAGGAGTAAAGAACTTCTCTTAAACAAAAAGTTATCTCAGATTCTGTTATTAAAGTTTGCCTGCCTTTTGATGTTTAAGGACCATCCTATAACTGAAAAAGCAGGTTACATTTAATTAAGTCCCCTGGCTCAGACTCGTTACTCAGAGCAACACTGTAAACACTTGGCAGGGACCAAACTATAAGAACAGGTTTATTAAAACAAGATCTTGGTCACATATGAGAAGGCAGGGAATATACAGGAAGTTCATGGGCAACTTATCGCTCTTCTACATCACTTCCATTTTTTTTATTTTTAGTGTATGCAGAAGGAAAATATTAAAAAACTTTGTTTACCATCTGCATTTGGTTCCTTTGCATATGTTACTTGTGAGTGATTTAATGAGCTGAATTCTCGGTTTGAGAGGAAAAATTATACTTGATGATTGTCTGATAGTAGCAACAAAAAACCTCCAAATCCTACAGCTAGGTTTTGTGCCTGTCCAGAACAAGAGTGCTTTGTGGCTCCTGCTAAAATGGCAAGTGAAGGTGTCTCCACAAAGGGAACTACAGATATATTTAAGTGATTGTAGCTAAATTGCCTTGGTTTATAAACAGAGTTCCTATATGAAAACTCAGTTCTTGAATGGATTATTTTCTGGCTCTGTGTAAACCTGTTCCAGGCCAACGATAACCAGAAAAAGATGTCTTTCTTGAAAAAGGCACTTCCATCTGTGGATATATACTTACCCCAGGCCTCAGAGGAGCATAACTTTCTACACAAGCATGCCCTAGCTATCATTCACTGCCCTTGTCAAATAGCTAAAGAGTAGTATGTCCATAACTATCCCTGCTAGACCTCCCTCTGGCCACACTCCCCAGTGTCCTTGTTGTACTCTGCAGGCCTGCAAGGAGCTCCTCTGCTTGAGACAAATATGGTGTGGGAACACAGTGGACATTTGGGTCCCATTGGCACAGCCCTGGAGTCTTTGCACGCCCTTATAGCTCCTTAGCAGGGCTGCAGAGAAGGTGAGGATCTCGCTCAGTCCTTAATCTATTAAGCTTTTCCAAAGTCTTCCTGGACAAAGAGTAAACCCAGAGGTTTTCTTACCCTATTGCTCAATGAGGAAAAGACAGGAAAGTTAGAGCCTGAAGCCTTCAACCAAAAGCAATCCAAACTACAATTTAACTCTCACATTTTACAACCTGACCTGAATGGTGACTCCATTTCAAAGCGATAAGTATGCCATCATAGATCTCATCAACACTTCATTTTTCTTGTTTAGCCCGTATCTGAAACACCAAGGAGTGCCAACCATGAGAAAAGATTCATTAACTGTTCCAGATGAATTGCTAAGCAAAGATTTTGCTTTTATTACCCTGTCCAACAGTAACCCTCAGCCTGGCTCTGCTACCCACACACATGTAAACACTGGGAGGGGTACCATGTAAAGTAGACTTTCAAAGCAAACACAAGAAAAGTTTGGAGAAAAAAGACAGTCAAATTTAACAAAGTAGGTAGAAGACACTCAAGAAAGGGTGCAAAAGGAATGAGAGGAACTGTATTAAGAAGATTAAGCAAATGGAGGAAGTGAGGTTATGCACAAAAAAAGAAAAAGCTATAAAATGTAAGCGCTTTAGGAGTCTTTGAAGGTAAGAAAGGCTGCAGTAAAATGTGTGTTGTACTCCTCCAACAAAGTTTGGTAGCAAACAATGAATTCATTAGCAAAATTGATATAATCAATAAAATGAATACCAGCTTTGAAAGATGAGTGCAGTGACCCACTAAACCAGTGCCAATCTTGATGCCTTTCACTGCTAACAGAGGACGAGGTGCGGTGACTGTTGGCTCTGTCTCAATGCTGCTGAGAATGTGAACAAACTCTGGTGTGTCTCCTCTTTTCTCGACTTCTAGAAATCCCTTAGGCAACACTGATGAGCCACACTGGTTCACATAAACAGCTGCAACCTAATGGTAATAAGTAGATTACAAGATCTTCTAAAAGGTCTCTATGTGCTGTAAATAAGTTTTGCTACACACTGTTAACTCGCATGGGTTCAGCTGAATTTATATTATTTGCTTGCTGCAAAGGCAAGGTTTGTATGTACCAATCTAGGAGTAAAATGCACTTTCCAGCAAGCAGTATTATCTCAAGGCTGGGTCTTTTGGAGCGGTGGTGTCCTATCAGGGAGACCACACTGTGGAGCTGTGGAGGTGAGGTTCTTGTTATTCTACACAGGAGTAGGTAGTGTTGTAGAACTGGGGTTGTATGGGTCACTCCTTCCTCTTCTGCTGCTTTTTTTCTTTTTCCTTGGTGAATGTGGTCTATTTTAAGGCAGGATTTATTGAGAACATGCATCTCTACTTGATGGAGGCAAGAGCAGAGGTCCTTCCCTGGCCTGCAGGCTAGTTTTCTTACAGTCAGTTTGGTTTTCTGCCATTCTTTCAGGCAGTCTGAAGGCTGGAAGAAAAGGAGGGTAGTTATGTAAAACTCATTTGAAAATTATGCACTTGCGGAACTGATTTGTTTCTGTTGCCATGGCCCT